TTCATAACATGGGGCCTGGGAGGGAAACCATCTCTCAGCCACCCGCTTTCCAGGGTGTTGCAGGGACCCAGGCCAGGAGGGCAGAAATAGGGGCTACACACACACACACACTTCCCCAAGGACGGCAGCCCTCCTGAATTGGGGTGCATGTTGTAAGCAGGGGAGCTGATTTCCATGGCTCCTGGGGCTCTTCATCCTCTCTGGCTGCCTGGAGGAAGGGCAGAGTCCCACTCTTCAGTGTCACAGAGAGAGGGTCAACCTTGTCATGGCCCCTGCCAAATTGGCAGCAGCTTTTGACTCAGCCAGAACATTCAGCCACAGGGAGCCCATGTGGTGACTGTTATGATTCTGTGGAAATATGTATTTTTTTATCTCCTTTCTGCCTTTCCCAGTGGTGGATGGATGGATGGATGTGACATGTGGGACAGGATGTCTGGGTAGGCGGATGGTATGTCTAAAAATATGGGGTGTTCTGGGGGAAACTTTGAGCCCAGTCTGCCAAGAGCTGTGCCTGGAAGTCCTCTGACAACACTGCTCTTAGTTCACTGCCTTGGCTAGTAAAAGTGAAGCCATTCAGTTCAAACCCACAGCTCATTTGCATGGCTACCTAGAAACACTGGGCTGGAGGGAATAAAGAAGCCAGCCTCCTGCTACTGTACTGTAGGTGCTAAGTCCAGAAGAGTCACCACGAACATTGGCTGTCCCACACCTGAATATACTACAAAGCTCCCACCATATCTACTGGAGATCTTGAATAGCTTCCAACAAGCTGTGGGGAGAGGGCCAGAAGGACTTAACTTCGCAGCAGCAGGCTGCCCCCAGCACCTTTCCCTGTCCCCAGGCAGGGAGCCCTGCCCAGCCCCCGAGTTCACAGAAGCCAGACAACAGTTTGCTGTTGTGTATCAGGCACTGAGGGCTCCGGTGGTGCTCACGGGGCCTATCTTTGCCCACCTCTGGGCCAGTTGGGGTTGGTGTCTCATGGAATTGCAGCACATGGGGCTAGGGAGAGGCCAAACAGTCTCGTTTATGGAGCTGCATTGACCTGGGCAACTTCAAAGACTTAGCGGGCTGCTGTGAAGAAGAGAGAAAGCCTTTTTGAGCATCAGGAAATACTTCTCTGTCAGAGCCACAAGGCAGTGGGATGGATGCCCAGAGGAGATGTGGCCTCTCCATCACTGGAGGATTCAGGGAGAGGCTGGACAGCCACTGGTCAAGGATGATGTAGGCATAGTGATCCTGTGCTCTGCTATGGGCATTTCCTGGGCTTTGCTGGTTGCTCCTTTCCCACCTTTTTGCTATATGTCTCAAGGGGTTTTCAACCCTCCCTCAGAGGTATTGGGTGGTCACCGCAGCCCAGGCTGGAAATGGTGACAGGGCTTCAGCTGGGACTAAAGCCGGAGGGTCCTGGCTAGCAGGTCTTGCCCTTCCGCTCAGGGTGAGTCTGATGCTGCATTGGGGTCAGGAAGAAATTCTACTCCCTGATAAGACTGGTATGGACTGGGGGGCAGGGAGGGTTTGCCTTTCTGTGTAATGGGGGCACAGCCTCTGCCTGGGATCCCTCAAGTATTTATTAACAACCTGTACAGCACTAGGATGTTGGGTGCTGCAGCCCCCCTGCTTTCTCTGTGGCCGGTTCAGGTGTGATGTCTGGTGTTGTGTCAGAGTTACCAGTAGACTTTTGTTGAGTTTAGATGATGGATGTGTCTGGGATGGTTTGGACAGGACTGATCCTGCTCAGGCAGGGTTAGGACCAGATGTGACCTCCACAGGTCTCTTCCAGCCCCACTTCTCTGTGACTCTATGGGTGACTGAAAGCCACAGGCCTTTGTACTTGCTCTATCTGGACCTCAGCCCCATGGAGGGAGCCCTGCCTTGTGGTGTCCCAACCCCTTCTCCTCCTTAAGTCCATGGGAGCTGAGCAGTGTTGGCCTGGCATGTGATGGAGGAACTGTTGCCTTGCCTTCCACGGATGCCCACGGCTAACCCTGCATGGTCAATCTGAAACCCACAATGCCTTGCCAGTTCCATGCCTGGCTACCTTTGACACAGGCTGCCATCACTGCTGAGTAGCAGCCACCCTCCCCATGGACCTCAATGGGCATTCATCTCCCTGGACATCCCTGCTTCCACCTCTGTCTCTTTTGTTACCACCAGCTCTCAGGTCTCGCTCTGCTGCTCTCCTGTCAGTCCCATCAGGGGATTCTGGGGACAGTTCTTCAGAAAGGAGACTTTGAACACAGAGGAGGAAGTCGTAAAAACCAACTGTGGGCTTCTCAGCTTGTTCACACGCCTCTCCCTTCTTTTGTACTCAGACCCATTCCCCCTCTTCCTTCAGCCCCTTCCTTCACAACCCAAAAGAAAAAATCATGGCAGGCTTGCAGCAAAGATTTTGGCAATGACAGCAACACTGCTCTGAAGCTGGAGTCGGTGAAATTGCAGCTGGAAGGGGCGATAAAGCCCCTACACCACCCTCTCTCACCCTGCTGCTGCCTCTCCCTAACCCTCCCACCCTGCTCCTCTGGGGGTCCTTCTCCAGGCTCCTCACATGTAAGCGTAGCAGGGTTTGAGGGCACAAATTATCCCGATGCCCCTTTATAAATCCCTGGGGCAGCCGCACCTTGAATACTGCGCCCAATTCTGGTCCCCACACCTCCAAAAGGAGACAGAATAACTAGAGAAGGCACAGAGTGCAACAAGGATTTAGCAGCATGGAGGAGCTTCCATATGAGGAGAGACTAATGAGAGAGAGTGAAGTGGATAGATAAATTAGATAGAGTGTGGGGTGGATAGATAGATGCATAGGCAGAGTGTGGGGTGGATACATGGACAGATAGAGTATGGGGTGAATAGATAACTGGATAGGGTGGATAGATGGATATACAGATAGACAGAGTGAGGGGTGGTAAATGGCAATTCTTATGTTCTTGTGAGTCACTTCCTGGACAACAGAGCCTATGGACTGCTTAAATTGGTGGTTCGCAACCTTGATAGGAGTCAAGACACCCCTCGTTAGACCTAACACCCCACCTTGTTAGACTCCAGGCCCTGCTTGGACAATGCCAGATATTTGCTTTTTCTTGTTCCTTGATGACAGAACAATCCTGGAGTGATTCTTTGGCAAAGACCTCAGCAAGGTGCCAGCAGGGCTTGGATACTTGGTTCCTACTGGAAATCTCTGGGTTTCTCTTGTGAATGGTATACGGTCTTAGCACCCTTCAAAGGAATCATGGCAACCAAAGCTGAGAATCCACAGCTTCAGTGCGTGTCTGGATTTCAGTCCCACCCGGGGGCTGCGTTGAGGTCATGTGGAAGCCTGGCTGGTATCAGTGTCCCGGCACCTGCAGCTCTTCTGAGCGGAGACACCACAGGAGGCAGAACCTCACACCATGGGGGACACAGTAGTTCCAGCAGCATGGACCTGGTCCCACCACTGTAACCACATGGGTGCTGGGGTTTTACCACCATACAGGAGGCATGAAACCACTGCCCCAACAACTCCACCACCCCTACAGTCCAATGCACCTTCTGTCCACACAGAGGCTTTGCTGGGCTGCCGTTAAGATGGAGTTTCAATGTAGATGCAATGGCATGAAAGACTGGCTGGCAAACTCCTTCTTTCTGTTAGTATGACCATTATGGATGCGAATTGAGTGTGTCAGGTTTATTAGCAGCACTGGACTTGCTTAGAGCTTGAGCTTAGAGACTCCATCTGGCTCACCTGTCAGGTCAGTTTTGAGGGTATGTCATGAGTCTTATTAGCAATAAAGCCCTTTTGCCATGGGAGCGGAAACTGGAAAGAAAGACCAGATTTATTTACAGGCTCCAATGCTGTCAGTCAGCTCTGTAAGACGGGCCCGGAAATAGTAAAAAGGGGAATTGAAACAAGGCTGTTAGAGAAAGCTGCTGCTAGAGCTGGTCAGAAGCAGCCAGCCGCGATGTCTTTGGGAGCTATGGCTGGGCCCCAAAAAGGACTTGGGAAGCTGAGAGTGTCCAGGGGGAGCAGCAGCCAGGACGTTGACAGCCGTGGCAGCAGTGAGCCTGAAAAGCCTGTAGCGGTGATTCTCAGCTGGAGGAGCCGGGAGACTCCTTGAAGGGGAACTGTCAGGTGTGCAAACGCCTACACAATTCACAAGAAAAACACTGCGATTTCTCATCCACAGTGTCCCAACCCTTCTACCCTGCTGGCGTCATGCTGAGGTCTTTGCCACAGAAGAATGGCCCTAGGACTGGTTTTCAACCTGTGGTCCGTGGAGCCCTGGGGGGCTGCAGGCTGTGGCTAAGGGGTCTGCAAAAGATGACCACAATCAGGAGTATGTGAATATCCACCCTTACAATTCAAAGTGGTCTGTGCCTCTGTTTGAAATTCCCAAAGAGGTCTGCAAATGAAAAAAGGTTGAGAACTACTTCTGTAGGATTTTGCCAGCATCAAGAAATGAGTGAAAGCGAAGAGTGGAGGTAGTTTGGTGGGGAACTGGAGTCTAACACGGGGTCCCTTGACATAACAGGGCGGATTCTGGACTCTGAGGGGCACCCTTTGATCCAACCAGGGAAGTCTGGAGTCTAACACAGGACCCCTTGATCTAAGGGAGAGACTGGAGAAGACTGGGACCTTGTTTGGTCGGGGGCAGACACTCGCCCACCGGATCCCGGGTGAGGGACCAGGGGCGTGGATCGCCGTGCCCCTCCAGCAGGTGGCGATGGTGGGACTACAACTCCCAGGGTGCCCCGGGTCGGGGAGGCGGGACCCTGCGGAGACGGGCGGCGCGTGGGGCCAATGGGCGGGCGGGCGGAGCCGGTGGGGCAGCGCGGCGGCCGGGCGCGGAACTCAGTCGGGCTCTGGAGCGCCCGGCGGAGCGGGCGTCGCGGGGTC